CTGAGGATGACCAGGAACTCTTTGATTTTGTTGATGAACAGAAAGAAATTGGTGAACGAGAAAATACGCCAGAAAGCGGTACAGGGAAAGAGGAAAATAATACCTCCAGTGAACAACAAGATAGTGTTTCAGAGAAGAATGAAAAGACAGCTAAGAAAGAAGATTTATGATGATGCTATATCTAAGATGGTGTGAGCTCAAAGCATGCTCAATATGTGTCACTGCAGCCAATGTTTTCCACTCAAAACAAAGCTAATATTGTCTACTTAGAAGTTGCATTTGGTTTGTTTTCAGGGAAAGCTGAACAAATTTGTTGTAATTATTAGCATTTTTTGAATGTTTTAATTTATGGCATTGATTGAAAATAAATTACCTTTTATGGGAATTGATGTATAATATTATTCCATTAAACTAATAAAACTAATGGTATAGCTATTAATATTGCTTCAGTGTTACTACAGGAGAAAACTTGCGCTATTTGGTAGAGTCAAAAACTGTGGGTTTAATTTTAATCCAGGATTAATGTTAATCCTATTGAAGTTTGTACTGTATTTACATGAAGTATCCCGTAAAGTACCTGAAATACAGGCTCATATTTAAAATTATTGCGTAACAATTTCTGGCAAATATAAACATGAGAGGAAGTCAGCGATTATTTTTTGGTTTAAAAACATTTGCACAAGGGTTTTTCATTGGAGTTCCTATATATTTGACGGTTACAGATAATTTCTGTGCTGTATGTAAAGTTGAAGGCGTTTCTATGCAAGTATGAAACTGTTTTTATTTGAATATTGTTGTCTAGTTTGTGCCCACGTGTTTCAATGGTTTCAAATGGCTCGCTTGTTATTTTGTCAACCAACTGAAAACTAACTAATAGATAGTGCTGTTGTGTACGGTATTTGAGTCTAAAACTAGGAAGGCAGTTCAAAATCGCTAGCCAGTGGAGAAGTTTTGATATAGGGCATTTATTGATTATTCAACTTAGTTGACACTTGACAATCAGTGGGCAGTCCAGGTTGTAAATGTATTGAGATCACGTGGTTTGCATAATGAATGTTTCACCTCTATGGCAGATGGTTCTATTTTTGTAACACAGGGATGGATTTACTTGGGGGGGGGGGTGCACCCCCTAGCCCTGGCTGGAGGGGATGCTATTTTTCATGATATTTAAAGCAAAAAATTATTAGAGACAAAATGAGATACAGTAATTTGAGTAATAACATGATGATAAGAACATGTGAACAACAATTACAATTCAAATACTGTAGTCAAGCAAAACTTTGCAGTAGTAAACAAGTTGATGGGCGGGCGGCACACATGACCGACACAACTCAGCACCAGAGTTGGCAGAGCACCTACCAGATCATGCTGGATCCATCCCTGTTGTAACATGTGTTATTTTGTAAATTATTTCACCTCATTTTCATGTGAGATAATTTTTTCCAGTTTGACTCTACACAGGCTTATACCAGAAACTCTGACCTGTTTCCTCCTGTAGTAACACTGAATGAAAGAAGAGAAACCCCTTTCTATTGAACAATAGAACATAGATGACTGGCTTTAGCTAGCATGACATGCTATCAAGCAAAAAGTGATGCAAAACAATTCACTGATTTCAAACTTTATTTTCAGCCAGTTCTTAACCCTGATTCTCGGACAAAAGATTTTGTGCTCATCAACAGATGGAAGGCAAAACAATATGACAAGATTGAACGAGGAGATATTGTGTCTATTGTGTAAGTAAACAGATTAGTTCAAGCTATTGTAAAAGCTATGAAAGTTGTTTGTAAAATTGAGAACTGTATAATGAATATGCTAAAACCATGTCCTTTTATATGAACTAAACAGTTAAACATTTTAACAAAATAAACAAATAGTTTAGATGAAAAGTTCAGCTAGTTGAGTGAAGCATATTTGATTTCCTTCTATGTTGTTTGTATATTTGAGACTTCACTTCCTTGAGAAATGGTCACAGCTGTCTTGATGAAGTGACTCACAAATTGGTGATTACTCAGCCCAGATAGTCACAGCCAAACTACTCAATAGTCACAGCCAGCTTTAGCTACAGTTAGTCTCTTGTTAATATTGGACTCACAGCTTGTTCAGTTGGACGACCATTCAAGAAACTGGTTGGTTGCGTCTTTTCAGTAAAATGAAAACCAAATGGTGCACCAATCTTAAGTGTGTGGCCTGAGTATTCTGCATGGTATAATAACTGCTCCAGTTGAATACGTACATATGCTTTGGCCTCAGGTGCGAGACGTTTTAATCTTGGCACTAAACTACGGCAGTATAAGTCATCCTCGTCCTCAAGTTCACTGTATTTTCGTTTTAACTGGTGTACTGGTAGTATGGTGGAATTGTTAGGTATTTGTTCACTGGGAAAATCTCTTGTTGGAATCAAAGATTGGGTAGTTGAACATTCAACTTGTGTATTGTTACTTTTCTCATTGTATGAGATGAGTTGTTTTGAATTTCCCCCTGTCCCCAATAACCGCCCTTGATTCGTTGTAAGATCAATTGTAACAGCCTCATTCGAGTGCCTTGTTTGTATTTCCATACGTTCCTGTGGCACTGTGGATTTAGTTTCAACAGCGTGAGTTGTTTCGTGTTGTGAGGTGTCTTTGTTGTCGTTTGAAGGTGAAATGCTATCGTTATAATCGCCGAAATGTAGAAATTCCATATTCGACATTGTCACGGGACTACCGTCATCGTCACTCCCACTATCAACTGCTCTTGAACACGTTGTCTCGTTACTCAAAGTTGAGTCTCTGTGAATAATATGTACTCCTAGCCATTCACAGTTCTCAAACGCGAAAGGTATAAAATCTTGACCATTTCTTGAAGGGTTAGCTCGTCTTTTCCGTAACCATCGTCCGTACGCCGTACGGATGTTTCGAAACTTTTTCTCAGCCGCCATCGGGCTCATTTCAAATTTCTCCGCCACCTTTTGCCAGCATTCGTTTCTCAGCTCTCTGTTTCGATATTCACGACTGAATTTATTATATAAACACTCGTGTTTTTGTATTTCTGCCATAAATACTCCATTCCAAGACATGATTTGAATTTCGACGAACTACTGTTTATAAATACTAGTGTCTAGTTGCCAAGTTGGCGATTTCAATAGCTCAGCCCCGATCAGAGTTTAGCAATCGAATCGTTTCAATATACCAGTTTATATAAAAACGTGTATACAACTTAATTTTCAGTCACTCCGCGATCGTGCGTTTATTACAATAGATGTCCCTCACAAAATATCAACTCCTCGAATAACAAGCAATCGCTGTATCGTTTCAATCCACGACAGTAGTAGTTTGTAAAACGTGGATATATACTTATAGTCGTTCTACGTCTTACGATCGTTCTTCAAAACAGTCGCTCACAAAACCTTCAAGAAAAAAACAAGACTTACGAACGAATACATCGTTTCAGATTCGTTTCTGTAGCCAGAATCCTTCGTTGCTCATCAAGTGTCACGAGAGTCGTTGTTTGTTGTTGGAGTCGTTTCATTTCGAATGCATCGTTTGACGTCATTGCAGCCTCGATTTCGAACACACGCGGCGATAATCGCATACGGCATGACGTCAGTCTGAGATGCAAGTCCATCTGCACAACTTTCAATTTTCTTCGGAAAAAATACACGTGGTCCGTTGTTTTGCGACCAGCAATGCGATTATATCTTTTTCGTTTTCGGATAATGCAATTTGTCAAATCTATTGTAACTAGATGCAACACAAGCCGATCTAGGTTTTACGATATCAATGGGTTTTACGGCCGGCGAAGGACGGATAGCAACACACATTAAACTATTAGCATTTATAAATTAAAGTTTCTTTTTATTATTAGTGGGATCCATTTTCGTAATTTTATAGTTTTTTTAACTTTTACAACGGTTGACAAAATCACTATTCCGTGAACAGGCGCTACCAGGTGTCCCAGGCCACAAAACGTAAAATAGAAAAATAGAATACAGTGATAGAAACTGCATACAGCATTTGGATCGACACGAAACACGATTTTCATGAATAAAAAGTGTTTTCTATTCACAATAAATGACTATGTGTGATTGATAAGTAGCTCCGGGTGTCTGAAAACTATTGAATTTAACAAATTCACCGTTATTGCGGTTGTTTTGTACGTGAAAGTGTTTTAAAAAGGGGTCCATATCTACTAGGAGATTTGGACCGGGGACTCCATATCTACTAGGAGATTTGGACCGAGGGGTCCAAATCCGCTGTGACACCGGCCTTCGTACTGACGGACCCCAGGTCGTAAGAAAGCCTGAAATGGAAACGTACGGAGTAAAGCAAGTCCCAATCTTTTGCAGATCGCCGAAAGATCCTACTACACTGTTCATCAAAAGGATAATTGCATTAGAAGGTGATCAAATCAGGTCGGTATACAGCTCATCATTGGTTACTTATTCAAGTCAAAACTGTATATGTTCTGAATATTTTAACCAATCTCCTAGTAACCTGAAATTCAGGCCCTATCACAGAATAGGGCCTGACACAAAACCTATCTAAAGTGTGGGATTCCCGTCCACCTGGTGGACGGGAAATCTGATTGGTTGATCAGCATCATGAAGGATTTTGATTGGTTGCAAGTTCACATAAACAACAGTTTTAAAAATAGCTCGGTCAAGGCGAGAATTAATATAAAGGTCAAACGCACGTAACAAATTCCATTATCGATTTCTTCGAATTTCTTTTCTTTTATGCTTTATGGAAGAAAAATAAATCAAACAAACAGTATTTTGAAAGGGCTTCATCAAAATCTTTGACGAATTTTGGACACACACGACGCTGAAAGAACAGCCAAACTAGTCCTGTATTCGAAAGCTTGTTGTTGACAGCCAAGATGTTCTGCCAACTTGCTTCGCCGGCAAAAGTCTTATTTTTAATATCAGGTCCTACCGGCGTTGTTTTCTGAGCTACATCGCCTTCTTCGTGGTATGATTGAGAATTTAATTGTTGCTGTTATTAGCCCGTTAGTCGTTAGAGTATATCCGCGATTCCGCGTCCAGCAAGTTGAGACCTTGAGAAAGCTTGGCAGTCAAGCCGTGCACAGAACTGATCGACTAATTAAATCTTTGTTTGCTGTTCGCCTGTTCGGTTAAATAGAGAAACTGACTCTTAATTATATTAAGTTTAATTAAAAAGCAAAATGCTCTGCGGACATGTTCATGAGAATATAATTTTTTTGTGTAACGAAATCTACAACACTTGTCAATCATATTGCATGTGTGTCTAAACCCCGTTCTCCACTACGCGAATTTGTTCGCGTGACGCGAAGTGAAAACCGAAATCCGGCAACGTGATTGGTCGGCAAAAAAATTCGCGGCGAAAAAGTAGGATCGCTTCCTACTTTTTATCTGTTCGCGCGAATAAATTCGCCTAGTGGAGAACGGGCTTAAAAATAACATGTGGGCGTCTCACGGTCTAGACAGGTTTTGTGTCAGGCCCTATTTCAAATTAGGGCCTGAACTTCAGGTTAATCTCCTAGGACACTCAGTTACAAAAATCGGGTTGTTCGCATCCCTAGAGGACATTGTTGGATCGAAGGTGATAATCGCAAACACAGTCTGGACAGCAACTCATTTGGTTATGTAAGTATCATCCGCGTGATAGATCAATGAGCCGAACACATCATTCCAAATCGATAGATCAGTGAACAAGAACACATCGCTCTAGATTGATAGATCAATGAGCAAGAACACATCATTCCAAATCGATAGATCAGTGAACAAGAACACATCACTCTAGATTGATAGCTCAGTGAGCAAGAACACATCACTCTAGATTGATAGATCAGTGAGCAAGAACACATCACTCTAGATTGATAGATCAGTGAACAAGAACACATCACTCTAGATTGATAGATCAGTGAGCAAGAACACATCACATAAAGGTCATTTACTTTAGGTACCACTGGGTTTAGTGAATGGTGTTGCCACGAGAATCATCTGGCCACCATCAAGGTGGGCAAAACTAACCAGTGAACTACCATCAGGTAGAAACCCATTTGATCACACCAATGAAGAAAAGGATGACGTCATCAGTGATGTCAGAGATAGTGTCAAGGAAGACGTTATATGTGACGTCAGAGACAGTGTCGAGGATGACGTCATAAGTGACGTCAGAGATACGGTCAAGAATGACGTCAGAAGTGACGTCATCGGTGACATACAAGAAACTATTACTTCGAAGATGGATGATGGGGACATTGACTCGAAAACCTTGCGTGTTAACTCGAAGTCCGAGCTCACGGGATCGAGTAACGTGTTAACGAACTTACCACAAAATGCACGGAGACATGTATCGGACATTACTAGCGTTGAGGCACAATCGAAAGTTCTTTGATAAGAGTTCACAGAGAACATTTGAATACAGAGAAACAATTTTAAAATATTAGAGCAGCGCACTGAATGTCAGGGCAGTCCCTTTTGGGACGAGTTCATAAATTTGTATTCTATTATAATATTACGTGATTAATAATAATAGGTAATAATAATAGGTTTAGGGTAATTTTTATTGTAATATTATTGTAATATTACGTAATTCATACAAATCAAGCAAAATAACACTTTCTATAATTTCCAGGAGTTTAGATATTACTATGAAGTTACAGATATACTAAGTATTCTCTCTTTTTTTCTTTGAGAAAAGCTCACAGATCAGATATACATATAAAAGTTCATTTAAGTTAAGTCATTTAGAAGATGTCATGCGACTGATGCGAGTATTCACTTAACATGGTTCGTGGTCTTAAACATGGGATCTTTGGTAACAGTTGTTGTCAGGTGCTAAACCATTTGAAAACTTGGAAAACCTAAATCGTTACCATTGCTTTTTCTGGGGAACTTTCAGCAGCAATCATTAATGTTCCATTAAAAACTTTCGTCTAGTTACAAATTATTGTTCTTACTTCTAAGTTATTAGTTGTTACTTATTAGTTATTGCTGAATATTTAAAGTTTTCTTGACGGTATTGACAATATTATGTATCTGTGGCAAGGCAAATTTTTCTAATGTCTGAGCATAAGGCATCGGCACATCAGCTCCCGTGACTCGTGATACTGGAGCGTCTAGGTAGTCAAATCCTTCACCTAGAAAAACACAGCAACATCGACTCATCGTTGGAAAAAACTTCAGACTATAAAAGCTGGTTTACACTATCAAAGTTTCTGTGATAACAGTAGGAATTTTGCATTGGTATAGTTTTATATTTTGAAGGATTTGTAAGAAAATTGACTCAGTGTTAGAAATCCATTGAAACATTTCTTAGAAATCCTTCAAAATCCTAGAATTCCTACTGTGATCACAGAAACTTTGATTGTGTAAACTGGCTTAAAGGTGGGTTTTACTAAGCACTATCGTGCAGCAGGGTGAGAAAATGATGTTAACTATTTTCATTATAAGTTGTTGTCTTGTATTTGGAGGCAAATGAATAAAATTGGGCGATGTAGTTTAACTTGTTTCCCTTACTTTCCATCATCACGGCACATATTTCTGATCCGACTCCAAAGAAGGGCCATCCTCCCTCGACGGAGATCAAATGATTGGTTTTCTTCACAGAGTTCACCAGCGTATCTCGGTCAAGAGGACGGATACTGCGAAGATTGATCACCTGGCAAACACAGAATTGATTATGGAACGCGAGTGAAACGATTGATTTTCTTCTAGTTACAGGTATTAATAAATATAACAAATGTCAGTGTGGAAAAAGTCGTACAGGGTGTCCACCTTTTGGTGAAGGTGAAATTCAAGGACTTTTCCAGGACTTTCAAGGCCCTTTTTCAGTGAATTCAAAGATCTAGAACTGGGAAAATCTTTGAAAATGGCACGGATTTACCGTAAATAATTCACCTTATTCAGTAATTTTAATCAAAATCACTAATGTTGGCACAGCTGGAGGTTAAGGAAATTAATTCCAGGACTTTCAAGGACTTCTATTGATTTTCAAGGACTTTCCAGTCCTGGAATTTTTTTCCAATTCAAGGACTTTCCAGGATTTTCAAGGTCCGTGGACACCCTGGTCGTAGATGAGCTCACCTCGCAACTAACACTATGGGTACTCTGCAGCTCCTCAGCTGCTTCCAAACACAGTCCCACGAAACGTGAGTGTGCTACTAGAGTTATATCAGTACCTAGAACAAAACACGGTAATGAGACCTAAATGTAGTTCCAGAACATTTTGTACGAAGCAAGAGAGAGTGGTAAATCACGTTTCGCTTTGGAGAGTAACTCATGCTATATGTTCACACTATACGGGATAGCTTTCTGGAGCGGCGCGAAAAGGCACCTATATCTGATAAGGAGTGTACAACTTTCAGAAGTTGAAATGCGAAACAACATCTCTCCAGATAGGTGTTTTACCACGTCGCTACGGAAAGCCATCGGGTACTGTGTAGATTATCTTTCCAGGGACAAATGTACTGGAGCAAAAGAGCGCAAGAGATCACACATTTCAAAATACAAGGACAAGGTATTTTATTAATTTCAATAATTTTTACCTTCACGTTCGACTTTCGCTTTTCCAATGGGCAAAACAAAATCATCTTTCATCACTTCATCTGGCACTTCAAAACTTAATCCATAAAGAAGCTCATTTTCTAACACAACAACTGTAGGGAGACAAAAATGAGAGAATTTGGAACCTCCTTTGGAACTATAATAGTACAGTTCTGGAGTAAGATACTAAATTAGTGCTGGCATGGATGTACAATATAGGGTGATGGGTGAGGCAACTCCCTCCCCAATTTAGAGAACCATGTGCAAACCCCCCCCCCCCCCCCCCGGAAAGGATCTGCACCATATGCTTATGAGTGCTGTACTCAAAACACAAGTGACTCCTTGCTTCTACTCAACTTTATGTTGTTGGAAGACTACTGCATCTCTCTTTAAAACTTGCAGTTTGAAGATATTTGATGTGACAAAGAAAGCATTTTTTCAGCATGTACCTGGATCAGGGTCCCTGACAGCAGCCTTGAGCAAACCTTTGGCATCCTCAGCAGAATACGGTGATACGACCTGGTGTGGCAAGAAGACTTTTTGATACATTGAATATTTCTTCAGTAAATGGTAGAATTGGGAACATGAAGTATCATACTGACCTTTAAACCTGGACAGTTACCATACCATGCGGCGTAATCTTGGGAATGTTGAGCTGCCACGCCCGCTGCTGCACCATTTGGCCCACGGAAAACTATTGGGACTGGAACCTAGAAGTGAATGATAAGAGCAATAGGATACTCAGGTATTACAGTTTCTCAACATTTTGATAATATAACGAGTTAATTTCCTACCTCTCCAGCAGACATATAGTATGTCTTTGCAGCAGAATTGATAACCTGAAATAAATGAAAAATGAATTAAAATGTGAAATACTTGACAGGAAAGCAAAAGTTGGAATATATACCTGATCAATAGCTTGCATTGCAAAGTTGAATGTCATAAATTCACAAATTGGTCTCAGACCAGCCTAGGAAATGCAGCAACATACATATTAATGTGACAGTGGGCTTTTGAATTATTAATGTAGATTTCTATTCTGCAATGCAATGTTATTGAAACTGATTAAATTTGGTTGCATACCATAGCTGCTCCAACAGCAATACCAGCAAATCCCATCTAAAATATTCAGCATTTAGATATTTTGAAGAGTTTGTAGAAAAAAGTTAGTTGAAAAAGGCCCATTTACACCATCCTCGTACCCAGGGTCTGCGACAGAGGTTGCATTTACACTTGCAATTTTTGCTGTGACTTTTAGTGCGATGCTCTTCTTCCGAGTAGATGAGTTAACAAATGTTCTGAGTGTACGTACCCTTATCTCAACATTCATAACTCATCCACTCATGAGGAAGTAAATTGCACTTAAAATCATGGCAAATCTACCTAACTTATTACCTCACTGATTGGAGTGTCTATGACCCTATTTTCTCCATGTTTCTTTGACAAACCACGAGAAATCTGAAACATTAATTTTACATCAGATGTTATTAAACACTTTACCCTGGTAGTTAAATAATGTTTTGATAGAATATAATAATCTCTAGACCTTATAGGCCCCATCATATCTGGCAACTTCTTCCCCCATTAAAAATACTCTGTCATCTCGCTGTATTTCCTCATCAATGGCAGCATTGATGGCATCTCGGACTGTTAGCTGGAATGAAAGAGAGAACATTTTGAAGAGATGGCAGTGTCATGGCACCATTTTGAAAAATGTGGACATGCTTAAATTGTCAACAAATGCAAATCGTTGCAAGCTAGTAGCCAAGCAAGCATCAAGCAATCCCAAGATAAGACTTGCAATTAGTTGTGTTTATGTTTGATCATGACTTCAAATCACAGCCAGTTGACAATCAGTTTAAGATTCCTCCATATATCAGACATATGTATGACAGTTCCCAGATGTAAAATATATAAAATACACTATATATGAAGTTCATTATCACTTTATTTAATTTACTACACTAATTTACTAAAGGACAATATATAAACGTGCATACATACATACAACAGGCGTTATTACGCAAGACACTTTAAAAACTCACAGTTGCAGAAACAGGTTTGGATGCATGTAAATTTCTCTTGCTTAAGACCTTCAACAAATCCTACAGATAAGTAATACGTAGTTTAGTTATTAAAGCATCTATTGCAGTGATATAATACAGTACAAATGTACACAAACCTTTTGTTTTTGAAATGTTTTTGTCCTCAAAAATTTTCCACCAAATGCAGCCATTTTGAAACTAGAGCCAGGCCTTTCTTGCTCAGCGCGGACACAGAACACAATCTGTCAAGTTCATCTTGGGTTGCTGTGCCTAACCTCGCAGGTAATTTTTCCACGCAAATTTCACGCGGGATTTCGCTACGCAAATTTCACGCGGGAGTTTGCCACGCAAATTTCACGCGGGATTTCGCCACGCAAATTTCACGCGCGATTTTGCCACGCAAATTTCACGCGGGATTTTGCCATTTCACGCGCAGTTGTTCATTTTGCAATAAATAAAATAAAGTCGATAAATATTTTATTAAAACGTCTGGAAAAAGACTTTCTCTGGTCCATGAATACTCTACAGCACAGGTTTATTCGTTAGCTTTGTATATCAGGAAAGAAGGTGAAATATTGTGGTGTTTACGTGTGAAAAATGATGAACCCTGAAGAGGCAGCCTCGTCAGGCGAGTTTAAACACGACGACGAGCAGGAAGGGGAGAAAGACAGTGCTGAATATGCTGTTCTCGTTGCAAACGTTATTGAAGCAAGTAAAGATGGTGAAGTTGTCAAGTATACCATACAGACAAAAGAGGTTTGTATCTTATATAAGGTCAAGGTTTAATATAATAGTTAATATAGTTAATATAGTCAGTATTATTATGCAGAATGGGTGTAGCCTGGGGTGGCAAAGATTTGGTGGCAAAGCTAACCATATAGCAACTGGTCTTGCAATGCAAACTGTTAAATTATTGTTGCAAACAACAGGTTTATTAGCATAGCGCCATAGCATGAGTAGCCTTGCCACTGCATTTGACCACAGTTAAAGGGGAAGTCAAGTCCGTAATGTAAACAAACGGTTTGTTTACATTTTGAACTGCTGTATTTTTTAAAATATGATGTACTGTCTGAATATCTAACACCATTTTGGTTCGTTATGCTTCTACATGAATATGAAATAGAGTTTGTGTTCAGAAAAATTCTAAACATTCAAAATTTGGGCAATGTTTACCTCAGAGGGCCCTCTATTGTTATGCGCAGAACCGATGCGCAGAACGGACTTGACTTCCCCTTTAACTGTGATTTGACACAGTCTTAACAGATCTACATTATCTTGAAAATTGTGACCTTTCATTGTTAAGCTAGCCAGCAGGGCAAAAGCTATTCCCACAAAATTATGTCATAGGTTCCAAGGGAAGGGATTTTAACATTTGAGTTTTGTAGCAATGGGATGGTTATTATCAATTGTTGGTGTAAAAATGTCCTCCACCATTCACCATAGTTTATCTGGGAGTGATTTACAACTGCATAAGACAGACTGCAAGGTGATTTTATTATTTTGCAGATTAGAACTGGTGAGGAAAGTGATGAAAGGGGTCATATTGTTGTGAGAGAATTTGAAGATTTTGAATGGTTGGATCATTGTATAAAAACAAAGAATGATATCTCTGGAGTTATTGTAAGACTCAGGACATGCAACAGCGTTTACTACATTTATATATTGCTAACTATATGTTTCTAGATGTTCCATGTTCTAAATCTTTCTTTTATATCGATATTATCTTCCATACTTTCTGCTATATCAACTCTATCTTGTTTCCATATTTCATTAGGTTCCACCATTGTTAACCAAACGTCATGTCACAGCTCTTGCTGCTGAGAATAAATCAAAGAAGCAACTTGGTAAATGCTGTTATGGCAGACATTGTCTATTCTTGTGTGAATCTTTTATGTACTGTTTAATAAATGAGCAGGAGTGTTTTATTAGGTTTAAAGCCTAATAAAACACGACTTGCAAGTTTATTGAAGTAATTGAACGGCTTCAAACACAACTACAAATTCAATAGATTTACTGCCTTATTAGTATTCTTTATATATAAAAATACTAATGAGGACACGACAACAATAGATACTGCCTTATTAGTTATTCTTTATATAAAGAATACTAATTAGGAGTGTTTTATCAGGTTTAAAGCCACTGCACGTGACATATTATAGTTGACATGATTTGCCAATAAGTTTATGAATTATTAATGAGTGTTTGAAATTTATAAAGAGCATTTGAAGTTTTGAATTAGCTGAGCCAATCTTAATGATCAGATTAGAACCTGTGAAATACTCTTGACAAAAATTAAAGTTTATTGTGCAAATATAGAAATGGGTCGTTCCAGAAAAGATCCAAGATTTCATCGGAGGAAATTTCTGCCGTCCAGAGGGGGAGGGGAGAACAAATTGTTTCTGATAATAGTAAATGTATTAGGACATCCGAAGGGGGTAGGGGGGTTAACTTCCAATTTCCTCTGTGGGGGTGGTATGAATGTTTTCTGGAATAACCTAATGAATGTTCAATATTCTCACCTGCAAATATTCATCTTTAGCTGTAAATGATTGGAGGCTGTAGTAAATGCCACAGATTCCATAGTTTTTTCTGTAATCTAAGTTTTAAACACTTCCCAGGGAACAAAACAAAAAGTATGCTTGGGGATGAGTTTACAAAGGAATGCAGAAGTTTAGAAAAGTACCTCCAGTTACTGTTGGTTCATCCTGTGTTTTCTCACGATGAAAATTTGAAAAAGTTTTTGATTGATGAAGAGGTATTATCTGATATTTTAACTGTTGAGTACTTCTTTCATTCATTGTGGTGAAGTTTCTGAAAAATTGTTTATTTTGTTTTAGCTTCCAGCAAGAGTAAAAGTGAAAAAAGGAATTTTGAACAGTTTATCCAAAACAGTTGATGAAGTTCGGTTCCACTCCCATAAAGTTAGTTTCTTTTTATCAAATTTGTTCTTTACCACTACGCACAAAGTTTGGTAATGACTAAATTTATGTTTAGGATATAAATGATGAGTTTCAAAGTCGAAGAGATTTTGTCAGTAAATATAGTATAGACATCAAGTCTTGTTCAGAGGTAATGTATATATTGGATATGTGGTACTGATTGACAAAAGCCTTTGCTTTGAACATCAAAGTGTTTTTTTATCTTATGCAGTTAGTTTAGATACAAACCAAAGGCATTGTAGAATACTATATACCTACACTGAACTTGTATGTTCCAGAATATAAAATGCAACTGACTCAATTTTTAATTCCACGACAGGCTTTTACAAAGATGGTCAATTCCCAGTTCAGTAAGTGTCTGTTTAAAATTGAAATGACTTCACATGAGTTCAGCTCGAAACAGTTGTATTACTAATAGATGTGTGATTTAACTTTCTGCTCCAGAGGTGGCCTCAGACCTGGCATGCTTTGCAACTACAGTCTCTAATGGTATAACTGATGGACTCAACTCCACAGAATTAAACAGGTTTGCTTTGCACATTTTCTAATGAAGCAACATTTGTGGTGGTCAAACTGTAAAATATATTTTCTATTAAATAGGCACCTACTTGAGTTTTCATCGTGTTTAGAGAAGTCTAGGGTATGTGTTCAAAGTGTATATTAGATATTATAAATAATTATACTACTATAAGAGGTGGCTGGATTTTCCGTAATACCTGGTCAAAAATACCGCAATACAGTACGTTGATACAAGTAGGGCTTCTAAGTACAGTATGAAATCGAATTTGCAACTTTTGCGCAAATCACTGTATATACTGTACCTGAAAAATTAACATTTTACCCGCAATATGTCTATATAAGAATATGGTACAGTACAGTATCAACGTGGGATGAACAACGAATGGGTCATCCGGGGACATGTGAATAAATAAGTGGTTGTTTTGCAGGAATCGCAAAATGTAATGGCGATAAATGATGAAAAGACGTTTGGATTTACTGTAGAACTGTATGCAAACTATATGGATAGTGTCAAGGTTGGTTTCTTCATAATTAATGAAGTTTGCTTTCGTATCTTCCTGTATTATGGTGCCATGGTGGTCAGTCTACAGTTATCAGAGTGAGAAAATAATTGTTCATCGTATGCAGTATAGTCTGCTGGCAAAGTCTCAGCCTTGGCTATAAAGCCTCGCGGTTTTCGGGATTAAGATATCGGCTTTAGAGACCTTTATCATGTTACTGATGACGTAATTATATAAATGGTCTTTTATAAAAAGCGAAAACGAGGCTCTATAGCCAAGGCTGAGTATTGAGAGATGCAGTTAATTCCTTGCTCATTGCCTGCACGCGAGCTACTTGCTCAGACAAGTGTCAGTATTTCTGAGGCTGACCACCGTCTACTGCATCATGTCTTGCTCAAACTCAAAGTGAAGACCATTTCTTATTCAAAAATTGTAGAAACGTAACGCATTATCACTTGCGCGTTGAAGACTGCAGATTGGCAGTCGAAAGCTCGTTTAATAAATCTTTAAAAACTATAGAACGTCTAAACTATTAATAACCATTTCTTATGTTTTTAATCTACTTCTTCACCAGAGTATGTTTTTACACCGTACACAAAAGCTTGTCAAGTTAGAGAGTGCACAGAAAGCTTTACAGAAAGCGAAACCTCAGAATCAAAAAGAGGTCAGTGATTTTCTACTTACCCTAATACACCCTTCCGGAAAATACGTCACTTCTATAACCATGGTGACATATTTCCCAGAATCGTGTGTCATAACTTCTCATATATCATATTTGGTTTTCCCATAGTTGGAGGAAGCGAAAAATACGGCAGAAAAAGAATTTCAAGACATTTCGGAAAAATGTGAAAAGGAGGTAACACAACATTTCTTTTTGAAGCATAGCTTAATAATTTTTACTCAGGATTTTTTGTTCCTGATTTTCGCGATCAAATGGGATGCGTAAGTAACATTTGCTTATAGCAATAACCGGTCACAATCATGTTGTTCCGTGGTTTCTCATTGTTTTGAAAGTCCCACTGTTCTTGATCCATCCATTTTGAGGCATAATTTGAATATTTGGTGTTTTAGTTCTCAAGATTTCAACGCCAGCGTGTCCTGTCTTTCCAATCCAGTCTGACAAAATTCACGGAGGCGCACATCTCAAACGCCAGAGACACGTACGCGATCATGGCGAAATTATTATCTGATGTTAAATCGCTTTGAGATAGTAAGACATTTAATTTAAATTTAGAGAGTAAACGGTAAATTCCTAAAGATGTTTTTAATAATTTCACAATCACAACAATTATAAATTATGAGTGGCTTTAACAACGCGAAGGAAACGGAGGAAGTATTTATAATCCAGGGGTCATCCTAAGGCCTCCCATTTTACAAAATGGGCAGTTCTAAATGTAAAATGGATAGTTCTAAAAGACTAAAACTTAAATGGGCAATCTCGTTCCCCGAGCCTGCGATCCTTGGGAAGGAATCGAAGGCTCTGGGATAATCCGTTACCGGAAGCCAAGAATCCTGGCTAAGATTGAACTACGCATTCCATTTCAATGGCCAATCAGATTCCTCCCTGAAACGGATTATCCCAGAGCCTCGCGTTCCTTCCCGTGGATCGCAGGCTCGGGGAACGAGATTGTTAAATGGGTAGTTCTAAAACCGAGTTTTCGAGCTTTATATGAAAATTAGTTATAAATTAAGCGCCCATACAGATATGTACAAATATCACTCTGAAGTCTGTGAAGACGCATGAAATGGACATTCTGGACTTCTAAAATTCAAAATTTTCCGAGGGAGTATGTCACAGGACCCTCCTAGCTACCCAGGAATCCGTCTCTCGTTACAGCCACACAGTTGGCCTGTCTTCACTACCTCTGTTCTTGTCGAAATGGGCAGTTCTAAATTTTTCTTAGGATGACCCCTGTTATAATCAGCGCAACATTGTTTTTGGCGGGGATTGAAAATCCAAGGGCCTTTGGTTGAATGCAGAAACTCTAAAAGAACAGAAGTATGTCTATGAGAACTGGCTGTCTTTTAAAAGAAATCTGAAAATTCATAATTTGAATTATTTGTAATTAGAATCATTGAATGCTTTAATTTATACAATAGAAAAATTGATTTTGTAAATCAAACATAAAGAGTAATAAGATTAATTTGAATTCACGTATTTATATTTTCAGTTAATCCATTCAGTTGCATTGCGCCCAACTTTATGCTGTCTAACATATTATTTACTCTGGCTAACGCCCGACGATTTTACTTGTCAAAGGGCTGGCACGATATTTCCGATATTCTGTGTATATCCAGTGATTTTTAGTATATTTCTGGGCATAATATCGCCCAACCAGTTTCATTTCGGTAGAGATTAACAAGATTTCACCGTACATTTACTCTTGTTCTCAATCTCGTATCCAGGGCCTGGGCTATGAGAGATTGCTCTTATTTTATAACAAGCGTTTAATAAAGGGCCTAGATTTCTCCTGAAATGTACTGATGTATCTAATAAGTAAACAAACAACAAGTTGAAGAGAATAGATTTAGAATTGACGTTTACTTTAAGTTTTAAATACAGTTATTGTCCAAGTTGAATTTATAAAAAGTTCTAACACATGGTTTTAAAATAATTTCATATACTTTAGATTGTCCAGTATTTGTTCACATGCACAGTGATCATGAAGTGTTCACATGCACTACAGTGAAGTGTTCATGAAGTGATCACATGATTATTGTTGTTGAGCTGCAAGTTTTTGTTTTAAACTTTCTGGCATTTGAGGTGGTGGTGGTCGGGGTAGTCGGAATACAACTTTAACAGAGTCGTAGATGAACCATTGAGCTGCAGTTAGGGTACCAATCATAAGAATACGAGGACCTAGACCTTTCCATAAACCTAGAAATAAGAGAAATAGTTAATTAAGCAAGTTTATACATCAAGTATAGTCTCAATTGGAGATTTGATAGGACACCAGTCACAGGTAAAAGTACCTTTGCTCATGTGAAACCTCAATGTTAAAACTTTGTCAAAAGCATTTGATAGGTTTTATTCTGATCAACCAGTAAAGCTTACCTACAGTAGCCTCACATTGATTGGCTTAGGTAATCATCAAAATCTTCAAATGCTTGTTACAAACGTTGAAGTTTCTTGTCAGAATTGACAATGTTTTTTTCTTTGAACTTTTCATCCTTGCATGCAAACAGAACGACAGTAAAATACTGTACCTTTCATGCCCAGGTCTTTTGCGGCTTGTATCGGAGAACTACCAACATCGTTATTGAGTTTAGACACCACAGTGTCGGCAGGGTGAGACACGATAGCACAGAATACACCGGCTGCAAGAAAATGAAATTTAAGTCAAAGTATTTTTATCCAGAACTCGAATTGAAGACAAGATAAGTAAATAAGAAAATATCAGACATTCTTACCAATATATCCAGCAATGAAGGTCACTACCAATTGTTCACCCTTGGAACATTCATCTCTACAGAACAGAAAGGTAAACATATTTTCAAGAAGCAATTACAGATTTTGCATCCAGAACAAACTTTTTTACTTGGCAGTACAGCATGAGCAGCGACATCTTTCACATGGTAACATACCTTGGTTTGGGAACAATATGGTGGTAGAGGAATTCAACTGTTCTTTCAAAGCAAGAGAATTTCATCATTGTGTAAGGAATTTGTCTCAGCCACAGTGGAGGTAGACCTTTATAGAATCTGAAAAGTAATGAACCCAATGAAAAATATGTGCAAGAAAACATCGTGTTATGAATAATGAATAAATAACTGCTATGATAGGATACTTTATTTTACGAGGAAAGCCTCATCACCCTAAGGTGGTTTTCATGAGGGCAACTAACTGCAGGTCAACCAAGAACCAATGTTAATTTGTTTATTCAGGGTGTCCACCCTTTGGTGAAGGTGAAATTCAAGGACTTTTCCAGGACTTTCAAGACCCTTTTTCAGTAAATTCAAGGACCTAGAACTGGGAAAAATCTTTGAAAATGACACTGATAATTCACTTTATTCAGTAATTTTAATCAAAATCACTAATGTTGGCACAGCTGGAGGTTAATTAAGGAAATTAATTCCAGGACTTTCAAGAACTTGTAGTGATTTTCAAGGACTTTCCAGTCCTGGATTTTTTTTCCAATTCAAGGACTTTCCAGGATTTTCAAGGCCCATGGACACCCTGTTTGTTATATGCAATACTCTTGTATTAGGCAATTAAAAAGAAATGAGAAATTTAAGTCTCCTATAAGTGTCAACATTTAGTTATATCAAGTGAGAGGCTGAAAATCTCGAATGCTTATGCAACCAATTCTTTCCTTGCACATGATGTCATTAGGCGCCATCTTGGTTGATTTTAAAGTTTTGTCCAGCCGTTTACATGGAAATAGTTGAGTTACTTTAATATTTTTGGTTTGTTTTGAAAACATCTTACTGTATTATGGATAGTTTACGATTTCTGGCACAGTACGTCAAAGAATGAAGACTATAGATTTTTAGTTGCCACATATGTTTTTAAAATCAACCAAGATGGCGTCGATTGCAAACGGGCAATTGGCAACTTGGTCACAGAATAGGAAGTTATACCAGAAGCGTAACTCGAGCAAATATTTGTCCACGTTTTTACAAGCGATTCGTCATCAATCACGCCATCCTGGCTAGTACAACCGGCACTTTGTACCTACCAAATCCTGATAAAAACTTCCGGCTGTACTAGCCAGGATGGCGTGGCCTGACGTGAGCGAGTTAAAATTCTTGTGGACGTCAAACAATAAGGGAAACGACTAGAGTTACGCTTCTGGTATAACTTCCTATTCTGTGACTTGGTTATAATGCGGACAAGCTAAAATGTAATGTGAGGCAACATGAAAACATTATAAATTTAAAATGACAAACTTACCCTCGGATACCTTCATCTTTTAATAATTTTGGCACTCCTTCTCGGAGAGTGTTGGCCCAGCCAGGATTGGTTTGAATACGCACTTTAACTGCTTCCATGGGCGCTAGAGCTATATCTGCAAAGAATTCTGCGCTTGCCGAGGCAGCTAGGTACAGGGACGTTCTCCAGGTGTATGAATATTCCTAAAGACCAAGAAAATATTAGTTGGTGATTGTTGGTAGGATTCAGTACGCAGCAGACAGAGGTTAACTTCAGAAATGTTGACAATAAGACTAGAAAAACCCATTGAACTTCAGTTCTCTTGACAAGTAAAATCATCTGGCATTAGATAGAGTAAAATAATAGAGCAGGGTCTGAAATTTATATTTTTTCTCAGTATCCAAATGGGATACCAGGATTCAAAGTTTAGTATCCCTCCTGAGTATGCAGTATCCCACTTCTGGACACTGGTTAGCAGTACCATAAGTATTATACCCTGTCCCATCCAAATAAGTGTCCATAACTCTCACCATTACAAATTACAATAACAGGAGACTCAACAGTCAACCATCAATGACTAAACAATTCATTAGTACACTAAAATCGACATAATCCTTCAATGAACTTCTATATGCTAGCCTCAGTGAGGAAAGACTGATGGTAAACTGAATTAAAAAACTAGGGGCCCATGTCTAAATTTTTCTTAGTATTCAGTCGGGATAGTATCATTCATAGTTTGGTATCCAAAACCAAATTTTTGGTATCCTATGGATATTGGGATGCTGTAAATTTCAGACCATGAATAGAGTAGAGTGCATTGCCATACTTAAAGGGTTAAACTACATCTCTCAATTCTATTTATAACATTATTTTCTCACTCTGAAAACTGCTACTTGACCCCCATCTGTTGCTCCAATAGTGCTCAGTGAACCTTTAGTTTGCAAATTTTGAAATCTTGAATAGGAACTTGTTGTACAGTACCTCTCCAATTAAATTACCATAGAATATCTTGAAAACTTCGTAGAAACCAAATTTACAGAGTCCTTGCATTGAATAACCAATGAGCGTTGGGGCCCATCCCTTGCCAAGACCACGGATACCTTCTTCGGCAATTGTTATGCGGAAAGCTTTGCCGAGACTTTGATATTTATCCGGGTTTACCTGGATTCTGCATTTGACAAGATCGAGTGGGACAATACCAGTATGTGTGATACCACAACTTAGAATACCACCAAAACCACACAATGCATAGTATTTTGAATCGCCAAATTCACAACTGTACTGCTCTGAAAATGTTTACATAAAAAAGTACATTCTTGAGCATCAGCACTCTCCCCTTGACGAGTAAAATAGTCTGGCATTAGACAGAGTAAAAAATAAGGTAGGGCGCGTTTGGACACTACTTAAGCCCATTCTCCAATAGGCGAATTTGTTCGCGCAAACAGTAAAAAAGTAGGAACTGATTCAACTTTTTTCACGGCAAATTTTTTCACGGACCAATCACATTGCCAAGATTTGTTTTTTGCTTCGCGTCGCGCGAAAAAATTCGCCTAGTGGAGAACAGGCGTTAATGGTTAATTAAACCACAGGCATAGGACGAACATGGAATGATGTAATGTAATATTCAATATCTTTATATTGAATACAAATATACTGTACATGTATTGTTAGGCAGATTTATCATCTGTTCAAAAATTTACACAGAATTTTAAAATATTAATACATAAAACTGCAAAATTTATTCATCTTGTATTTCTTTACACCGAGATTTCATTTATAAAATTACCAGAAATTTATAATTAAATTTGCTACATCTTATATTGCAGTTTGTCATAAAATCACATGTGACCGGCATTTTAATTTACCACAAAAAATCACGCTCAATAACATTAAATACCCACAAAACCATACACCATACCCAATCTAATATCAGCAGTACAGATTACACACCAAACCAGTCAAAAGCATTAAAAAACAGCAACCAATTTTGGCAACTAAAGACAAATTTTACCAAATTACCTGATGGGACAGCCGCCATATTGACTGATTTCTGCTCTCTTGGAACGCATTGTGCCTGTTGAAGAGGACTAGAAAATGGACTGTTCTTTGCTGCTTGTAATAAGCCAGAAAACATTGCTTCTTTTTTAATGAAAAGCTTTTATTGCAGCAGAAACTTTGGGAGAATACAAATTTTCTCCCGACAGATGAAGGGCTAAAATTTCGAAAGGAAGACGCAATGAACTATGGACCTTACGTCACACAGACGCCTGACGTCATCATTATGATTACTTCCACTAAAAAATTTCCTTTCTAGCTAGTTCCCCTTCGTTTTTAATGAAAATTTATATAAATTCAGGCTGTTGTTGACGTAGAATTCGACAGCAAAAGTTATAAAGATGTCTTAAATTTTAGAAAATTAAATTTTGCACCAAAAAGTATAAATTTATAACAAAAAGTTTTATTTTTTTACCAAAACATCCTTATACTTTATGCTTTTAAATGCTTTTATATAATTTTTCCAGAGAATCTTGAGAAGTTCCGTAAGTTGAAGTGGATCAACCTCATCCCCAGGGTCTTCTTTGGAAGTGGATACGATTTTAGGCGGGAAAAAAGGCGGGAATAAATGAATAATTGCCACAAAATGAAAAAAGACCAAAAAAGACATGGAAGAATTTTGACAGTTAGCAGAAATTTTATCAAATTTAATGGCTAATTTCGTATGGTAAGTCATTGTTTATACCTTTGGAAGCCGATGAGGCTTGCGTTTGAACATTTTTCATGTATATATACTTTATTCTTCAAGCTGAACTTATTTTTTTTTGTTGTTCGAACTTTGAGTTTATGGTCGAACTTTTTAATATTTTTTTTTTGGTTGAACTTTTAAACATTTTTGGTCGAACTTTTTATATTTTTTGGTCGAACGTTTTGCAGGGTTGAAAAAACATTTCGGGGTGTTGAAAAAACAGTTTTCCGTTGAGCATATAGACCATTTGGCAAAGGCGCTTTGCGGGTCTGGACAAAATGGCGGTATCTTTGGTTTTGTTTTCAATCGTAATGTAGTCTGTAGCGTTCAATCTATACTAGACAGGGGCACACATTATGGGGGGAGGGGGGTTTGGGCCCCCAGCATTTAAAAATCACAAAAAGTCAGTCCCAGTTTTGTTTGAGACTACAATGGCTCGAAAAGATTAAGTTAATCATTCCCTATTGTCCAATTTCACAAGGATTTAACGCGGCACTTGCCGTGCGATAATAACTTCTAGTTTTAGTTGACTCTATCACGAAGCCGGCGAACGTCTAAGCGTAGTAGAAAGTATATTAAAACACGGCTAAGGGACCGCTCATTATTTATTGTACAGGGGGGGACTGAGGAGAAACTCTACAGTTGTAATATTTTTTCGTTGCCCCCCTCTTAAAACAAGTAAAATTTTCAAAGCCCCCCCCCACCCAACAGGCAAAACAAGAACATAAATTTTGCCC